TATAGGGCAATACCAAATAGCATGGTCAAATTAAGTCTAAATAAGGATAGTCTGATTTAATTATCTTATTTTTTTTATTTTAATAAAACATTAAATATTTGTATTTCAAATTTAGTTTTATCTTAGAAGAAATCAAAATGCATTGGAGTAGTTTTATCTTAGAAGAAATCAAATTTAGTTTTTTATTTTATTCTAAGTAAAAATAAAAATGGAAAGACAAATCTTAATTATTGTAATAAATAAATTTTTTGATAATAGTAAATAGACAAAGTAAAATAACTAAATCAAACTCGAGAGAGTATATTTTTACCTATATTACCCTTTAAAAAATAAGAATAATGAAAGACGGTTTATGACAAGATTGATAATTAAAGTCAAAGGGTAATAATAAGGTTACAATCGGAAAAAATATTTATTGCCTTAAAATATACTCTAAAAAAGTAATCTAGAATAAGTTCTAAATAAAAAAACTATTATTCTTGGACAATAATTTACTAGAATTAAGGTTTAGGGCTTAAAAAAAAAACTAAAAATTACTCTCTTTGTTCATTTTTAATGAACATAGTTTTTTCAATAAAATAGAGACATAATAATTTATTGAAAAAATTTTATATTTATTCTTGATTAAATATCACTTAAATAAGACTTTTTATTTAATATATGTTGTAATTATCTTTTTAAAATAAAAATAGAATAAAAATAAACACATTAAACAACATGTTAAAAGAAAAATTAATAAGTAGATTTGAATGCTTAAATAGAAAAATAAGTCTACTAAAGTTAATAAGAAGGAAAAGTAATTACTTACTAATAGTTAATTAGATTAAAACTAATTAAGAAGAAAAATTAATAAGATGTCAGACCTCAAAGAGAAAGGAGAAGAAGATGAGAAAATAATTGCATTTGGTTTTCTAGCCCCAATGGGGTGATTTAATGATTAAGAACTTAAAACTTTAAGTTGAAGATCTCAAATTTGAATTTTGAGTCAAGTGAGGAGGGATTTGAGAATATGAGAGAACTATCTTCTCTTATATAACCCATCATTAGATGCACAAAAAAAATTTGCATTTGGTTTTCTACTACATAATTCAAGGACTTAATTAAAACATTTTTCAATTTAAAAGTTAAAAGATAATTTTAACTGTTATTTTTGGCCACGTGTGCCAGTTTTGTTCCATGTGTTCTGTAACAATGTATTCCGTTAACAAAAATTAATGATGGCTAGATGGATAGATTAAAATGGTATAGAAATAATAGTTTCTAGACTATTTTAAAAAAATTAAGTTTCTAAACTATAATGAAATCAAGTCAATAATTATTAGATTATTTATTAAATTTAGTTATAAAAAATGTGTTATTTTGGAAGTCTAATACATCCTAACACCAAATATTACGTGGTGTGCTTCATGTGATGGTGAAGTGGTAACAATCTATTTCATAAAAAGAAAATATCGTTGGAGCGCATTCTGTTTGATCCTTAATTTTCCTTCTCTTCTTTCTTACTAAAAATATATAATAATAGTAACAAGTAATTGATATCTTACTAAAAATATCAATTTATTGATTAATTTATTAATTAATAAATATCAATTATTTTATTAATTATTAATTAATAATTACAGTTA